TAGTTGTTGAGTAAACAAATGAATTAATGAGTAAGTGAAGGGATGAAGTTCAGACAGGAATCCCTTGAGCAAGGACATAGGGTAGCTGTGTTATAGAGAAGAGAAATGAGATAGGAGTGGAAGATAAAGCAGGAAGGTAGACTTACGTATAGTTGATGACTTTTGTTTTTCTTCTTAATTATGAACATCTCTCAAAAAACAAACAAACAAACAGAAAAACAGTATAGTAATGCCATACACTAACCCATAACCCACATTAAGTAATTATCAGAGCTTTGCCATATTTGCTTTATTTAGCCTTTTTTTATTTGCTGAAGTGTTTAAAAATAAATTTTAAACATCAATCATGCATTTCACCAATACTTCTTTATGCATCTTTTAAAAACTGAACATTTTCTCACACAACCACAATACCATTAATACATCTAACAAAAGTAACAATAATGCTTCTGTATTATTCACCACCCAGTCCATAGTCAAATGTCCTCAATTGTCTTAAAACATGCTTTACAGTTGGCTTGTTTGAATCAAGATCCAAAAAAGCTCCATATATTACATTTGGTCATTATGTCTCCTAAGGCCCTTTCAACAGTACCCTCTCTTTGACTTGTTAGAGAAATCAGGTTACTTGTTCTGTGCACTGTCCCACATTCTGCTTTTTCTGCTTCCTCTTGTCATTTAGCTTGTCCCACTATCCCTTGTATCTCTTGTGAGTGGAAATTAGATTTAGTATTGATTAGATTCAGGTTCTTTTTTCTTTTTCCCCACCTTTGGCAGATTGGTTTAAAGGGGGCCATCCTGGAGGCATGAAGACCAGCTAGGAGGCTGGATGGGGATAGAAATAAGGAGATGGGTGGATTTTGGAGGTAGAAGAAACCCTGATTTATCTATCAATTGGATGAATGGGACGAGGAAGCAAGAAGAGTCAAAGATGATTTTGAGACTTTGAGCCTGCATGATGGAGAGAATAATAATACCATCATCTGTGAAAAATGGGTTTTTAATGAGAGTAGCAGGAATCATGGTTATATTAACAGAGGAACTTTCTCAGAGTAATGAGCCATCTACTATGTTTTTCCAGGTAGCACTATCTTTCCCAGAAAGATTATGATTAGTGGTATAGAAATTTGGGCCCTCCAGAAAATTTTCAGAAAAGAAATCTTTATTTTTAAATAACTGCCAAATGATTAAATATCCTGCCCCAGAGCCTTGGGAGGAGGGATAGTATGTACACCAATGAATGGAGAGAAAGTAATACTGATATTACCCTTGCAGATGAGCTAACTATCCATATCATCATGGGTATCAGAGTCACCAGTCTTGGGTGGAGGGCCAAAGAATGCCAGAGCATGGGATTTCTGTAAACCCAGCCAATTAGCATAGCTCAAGACCCAAGTCCTTTCTTTGTGTCCCCTGAAGTCTCCATCCCACACCCACTTCTTCATCCAATATAGAGACTGCAGCTTCTTAGGTACTTAGTGGACAATGGCAAAAATGTTTCTGCCAAGATCAAAGATTCTCTAGCCCCTCCCTGTATATTCACTGGGCTCTGAGAAAGCCCCAAGATTATTTAGCTGCCTCAGTAAGAACTTGCTTTAGCTGTTGAATCAGATCAGGTGAGACTACTGTCAGCTCCATCCTATGTATCCTCAGTTATAACAGTCTCTCCCTCTACCTCCCCCCAGCTCACCTTTTTTCCTACTTTCTTTTCTGCTCCTCCTTCCTTGCTCTGTCTCTTCTAGAATACATTTATTTTCTGAGTTAATCAAACACTGGCCTCTACAGCCCATTGTGTCTCAGATTGATCACTTAAGCAGCATTATTGATCGCTGGGAAAGCCTTAGGAGGTGGGAGTGTACTGAAAACTAGAGATCCAACGGGCTAGCCCCATTGGTTGGCTAGGTTTTTCTTGGCAGCCTCAGCTCCTCAACCACCTGGAACATCTTTTGAGAAAGGGGAGGGAACAGATAGAAAACACCCTCAGAGTGCCTCCATTCATCTCATTCTTTCTTAATTTTGGAGTTAAGGCAAAGGAACAGGAGTCTATTGAGCGCTCCTGGATCTAGCCCAATACCAATGTTATGATGAGAAGGGAAGAAAGAGCAAAGGGTCTGCTCTTTAGAAATTCATAATTTAGCAGAAAAATAATACTTATTCATATGAAGCAACTAAGAATAAAACAAGTTAGAAAACAATTATATACCACATCATGTATTCTAAACAGTAAGCACTGTAGGAGTTCAGGGCACAGAGAGAGCCAGCAGCATGGCTGGAATGGAGGGAGAAGGCTTCCTAGAAGAGGTTGAACTTGAGTTAGATTTTAAATAATGTGTGAGATTGAGATTGTTGACTAGAAAAGAAGCAGGCTTCCAAGGGGATTGCATAGTTAGGGAAATGGCCAGAAATGGAGATGGTCATGCCATGATCAAGCAAGAGTGAGAGGGAGGTCTGATTAGAGGAGAGGGGTGTTTGGAGGCACAGTGGGGAAAAATGACTTACTGGGTAAGGAGTATCTTGATTTGAAGGGCCTTTGATGTCAGCATGAGGGGTTTCGACTTGAGGACATCCTGAAGGGCTGCTGGACAATTAATGTGAAGTGTTTTAAGATGGTTAACCATGTGCTAGGAAGCAGACTTGATTGGAATAAGGAGAAATTGAGACCAGCTTGTAAAATACTATAGCAATTAAAGTGAGAGATAATTAGGATGGTGGCAGTGGGCATAGAGATGAGGGTCAGATCCAAAAGGCACTTAAGGCATTGTCCTGGATGGTAAACCACCAAGTAGGTACTCTTGAATTGTTTTTGTCTCACCTGCTCCCTCCTTCTTAGCCTCAGTACTTACACATTCTTTGACCCTTGCCCTCAGGGCCTTCATGTGACTCAATTTCACTGGCAGTAAGACAACAATGGATTAATCAGTTAACCATTCCAAGTAAAGTAGATTTGCACTGGAAACTTCAATGCCCTCAATGGCAGGACCTGAAGGAGTAAACTATGGGGAATCTGGCTGCAGTATCGTTGAGATGACAACTAAACTGGGGTTCTGAGTACTACACCCCCAATAGGGAGGCTAGAGGCAGGGGGTGTTCTGCTTCAAGCTCTCAAGTCCTATGAGACCTGCTGAGAGCAAAGAGACAGCTTTCAATTTCCCTGGTAAAATCAGTTTAAAGCCCTGGCCGGTGTGGCTCAGTGGTTAGGGCATCAGCCTGTATACTGAAGGATCACAGGTTTGATTCCTGGTCAAGACTGCATACCTGGGTTGCAGGTTTGATCCCCAGCCCCAGTGGGGGCGCATGCAGGAGGCAACCAGTTGATGTGTCTCTCACATTGATGCTTCTCTCTCTCTCTCTCTCTCTCCCCTTCCCTCTCTCCCTCCTACTCTATCTAAAAATCAATGGAAAAAGTATCCTGGGGTGAGGATTAACAAATAAACAAAAAAATCAGTTTAAAAACTCCTCTCAGCACTTGGGACATCCCAGTGGAGGTCACACCTGTGCCAGGTCATGGCAAGAGCTACCACAGCACTTTAATGCCAGCTGGAGTCCTGTTGTTACAGCTGGTATGAGAAAAAGGGAGGAGGCCACAGGTGGGTGGGAGGGTAATGGGAGAGGCCTCTGCCTGTTCATTTGCTTCCCCCACCAGCTTTCCCCTCCATGCCTAGCCCACTGAGTTTCGGCCCTGGGCAGGTGTCGGGGCCTAGTGCCTCATATTTGGGTTGGAAGGGATATTTGTGAGATTTTAACCCCCTTCTTCTTACTGGCTCTTGTGAGAGGGAATGAGCCTTCTAAAGATGAATGAGTGGAGAATAAGTCTTCCTAAGCTGTGGGCTCCTAACCACCAAGGGAGCTCAGCTGGGGGGGGGGGG